GACATGTCCGGGGTCCGAACTCTTTATGCCTGAAATGGCGAATGGACCCTCATTAAGCCTAGAATACGAACTTTTAGTTAAAGTAAGGAAAGATCGAGTGTGCCTGTATTGTGTGTAACATTTTACTGTCAAACATTTTACAGATAAGCCTAGGGTGTGACCCTCGACAAGAGAAAGCCGAGGCAAAGAGAAACGAGGAGCTATCTAAAAAGAAAGTACTAGCAAGAGAGCACCAGAGAAAAAAGTAAGTTCAGTAATGTTGTCTTACAACCATTTAATTACATATACATGTATACATAATTGCATAGTTTACCTTCGAAAAGAATGCGTGTTTGCGATTTCCTGATGTTAAGATAAAAAATATCATATTTCATACGCTTAATCATGATACATTTTCGATATGATAAATATCATTTACAAAATATATTATATGTATTATCAACATACACAATATATTTAGCATAAAATTACATCACACCGAATATATCATTTACATCACACCAGATATATTTCATTTACATCACACCAGATTTTTACAGACACTTGGGGTTTGGAGCTCAAAACGCCTTTAAAATCCAAATAAAATGCATATTTGTCAATCCCAGCACATGTACTGATCATATATATCAAAAAAACTTAATATAAGCCATAATGTATTATTATAGATGTTGAAATATGATTTTTTTTCAAAACGGCTTATATTAAGTTTTTTTGATATATATGATCAGTACATGTGCTGGGATTGACAAATATGCATTTTATTTGGATTTTAAAGGCGTTTTGAGCTCCAAACCCCAAGTGTCTGTGGATTTTTATATCATTTGCATCACACCATATATTAGATCATTTACATCACACCAGATTTCATGTCATTTACATCATACCAGATTTTATGTCATTTACATCATATCAGATTTTATGTCTACATCACATCAGATTGTATGGCATTTACATCACAGCATATATATATCATTTACATCACACCAGATATTATATCATTTACATCACACCAGATTTTATGTCATTTACATCACACCAGATTTTATGTCATTTACATCACACCAGATTTTATGTCATTTACATCACATTAGATTTTATGTCATTTACATCACACCAGATATATATCATTTACATCACACCAGATTTTATGTCATTTACATCACATCAGATTTTATGTCATTTACATCACATCAGATTTTATGACATCACACCAGATATATATCATTTACATCACACCAGATATTATATCATTTCACACCTGATTTAATATCATTTGCATCACACCAGATTTTATGTCATTTACATCACATCAGATTTTATGTCATTTACATCATACCAGATTTTATATAATTTACATCACTCGATTACTGTAAACGACATTAAACATTCCATTGACACAATAATTTATAGAACTGAATGCAAGCAGCGAAAAGACGAGGCCGAAAACCAGTTCCGGGAAAGAGTTCGACTCACTATGAGATCACGACAGGCAGATGCTGAAAGAAACCGAAGCCGGATGACGTCACACAGAGCCAGCATCAGCCGGATGTCAGCCAGAGCAAGCCGCTCATTGCAGTTTCCTCCTCAGAAAAGTCGCTCGCCGACGAGGGCAATAAAAACGCCCTCAAGGTCGGCAGCTCTCACTAATTTTTTTTGGCCGGTCGACACACCCTATAAATAGTGAGCCTCATACAGTTTGCTATAGTCACGTGATACGACGTTTTCTTGAATCAAGCTACAAAATAAAAGCAACTTATTTCTTTTTTCCTACTCATTTTTCATCTTATAAAAGTCTTTTTATTTTATCATAAAAACACATGTTTAATTTTCAGTTTGTCCCGGGGGAATCGTTCTTTCTCATCGTTTTCAGCTTTATCTTCACTTTTGCGAAACTTCTATACAAATTTCAAATCATACAGTGTGTCACTTATGTCAATGATAATGCAAACAAAATATTTTCTTGTAGCTTGTGTGTGTGTTTGTTTTTTGTTGTTTTTATTAACTTTCAGTTTGTCTTGACTAGTCATTTTCAAATTACTGCTTTGAGAGAGAGAAAAATCATTACACGCGTAGTCTTGATAAATTTTCAAATGACTCAATTCTGTGAAATTTCTACACAATAGTTATACTTTCAGTTCTATTTTCAGAAATAATACAATTTGATATATCTTTTTTTCTAAATATGAACGTTACAAAGGTTACAGTTACCTTTTTAAATCAACAAGAACATCTTTGTGTTAACATCTTAATAATAACCAGACCGTGATGAATATTATCTGCCTTGAACAAAAAAAAATTATAAAACCATGAAAAAATAAGTATCAAATCTACACTTTGACCTTGATTCATCAAGGTCAAGTATGATGATACTTACCAAAAAAAATCTCATCTCATTTTATCATCCAATCATTCATGTTCTCATAAAAAAACTCCAAGAAACAAGGCATTGGTCTTTTCCTTACAGTTTCAGAAAACACTCAATCCTCAAAGATACATTTCTTATCATACCCTATCACTGGTTTGTTATATTCCAAGTTTCCTTACAGTTGGACAAATATATACATCAACTATACTTTACAATCACTGTTTTGTCAATTTGTTTTTTTTTTTCCTTTTTAAAATCTGGTTAATAGAAAATCTCACCAAAATCAGTATGTATATTTTTGGACATAACAGTCTGATCTTAGCATTAAGGAAATATTTCTTGTTTCATTATGCATTGATATTTTGAAACACTGATTTTTTTTGTTGTTTTTTTTTTTGGTAACTTATCATAATTGTGTGATAGAAATAACTTTAAATTTTAATAAATTTCTTTTTTATTTGTACTATATCACTTAGAAATTAACAAAGGAATGTTTATAAAAAACAATGATATTTCTTTCTTTTTTTTTGAGAATTTAATAACTATTCGTCTGACTTGGCTCAAATATTGGGAAGCATTTAGAGGCTTTGGTCTGCTATTATGGGGTACCTGTCGGCCTTTAATTTGGCATTTTCTAAAATTTCTTCCTTGCAAAATAATAATTTCAATAATTTGGCACAAATAAGATATAAAAGATATATTCTATTCATACAATGAGAACATTTTCGGTTAATACACGGTTTCCAAATATTTACATATAATATTTACATATAATTATATAAATTAAAACAAATTTTAACCACAAAACAAAATGAAGTTTGTTGTTTTTATTTATTATCATTTTAACTTCTCTGAAGTACAAGTCAGGATTTTATACAGGTGATCAGGTTGTCGAGCATAATTAACCGGAGTTTGACGGAAATGACCGAGCAAAGTCTGTCATCATACATGATTGATACATGAAGACTTTAATCCTTATTTGTTATAAAAACGTGCGGCGAACGTTATTAAAACTTCTATCTCCTCGTTCTAGACACTTCTGCAGCGGAACAAAAATGAGAGACAGAGAGAGACAGAGAGAGAGAGAAAAAAGCACCACTATTTAAAACATTTATTTAAATATGTTTAACATTAGAACTTAATAAGAAAAGAAAAATGGCAATGAAGCTTTGTTTGGAACATTGGGAAACCTAAAGTTAATTCTTGCTATACAGTTGATATATTGTCTTCCAATTTCGGATCCTCTCATGAGCAAAGTAAAAAAGTTTAAAAAAAATGTTTTATGAAACGTCTGTAGTTAAAGTTAATCTGGTCAAGAGTAAAGAAATGGTTACCAATACGTGGTATTGTGTTGTTTGTTGTTTTTGTTAAATGAGATTCTTTCCGCCAATTAAAGCAAAAAGTAGCTTTTTCACGGGCACCGGGCATATCACGCAATATATGAACAATACTGCGATTTATATGAATTTTTTAAAAATGAAATAATAAGATTTGTAATCAAATATTAAATGAAACAAACAAGTTCATAATACTAAAGCATTTGCTTCTTATGGATTGAATTACAAATACATGTATTACGTAATGTGCTATATCTATATATGTAAGGACTCGTATATAGAAGATAATGAATGAGTGTCAGTTCAATACTAAATATATTGAATGAGTTGAATAAAATTATAGATCTAATATGCGAGCATCTGGTGAGAAAAATATTATTTTATTCAACGATTTCAATTAATTCAGTTATGAGCCAATACGGATGTAATATTTTATTTATCACATATCCACCAAAAACACAGTTTAAAGGGCAAAAAATAATAATCCTTTTTATTGAGGGCCTATAGAATAACGCTAACATTTAGCTAACGCAAATGACGTCACGTCAAAATAATTATATGCATGGCCGTGCGATAACATTTTTACGCAGTCGCAAAAGCGGCACACATGTGTATCTTTCTTAAACGATAATCCCTTTATAACTTTATAATCTAGGTAGTATGATATTAGACAACATTCATGTACCAGGATACGCCTACGTTACTTCAGTTAAGTGCAGACTTATGTAAATAAAATTGATAACAGAAAGGCAATTTATGTCAGCTCATCTGAAGTGGCCATTTTGAGATAAAATTATCATTTATAAAGAAAAAAGTTTGCACTTAAATTTTTAATTTATACAGGGTCTTTCAAATAAGACCCTGATTTATAAAAAAAAGAATTTTACTTGCGTTGCGAAAATAAAATGTTGTTTAATCACGATAGAAAAAATACATTGCGGAATGCTTCAGCTATTTCCATCACAAATTTGAATTGAAAGAATATATCGTTTAAATCTGGGCCAAAGATAATTTTAAATTCCATGTTAAATCGTTGGTATAAAGATTGCCTGCCTTCTTTATGAAAATACGTATATATCCGTCAACAAAAAAATGCTTCTAATGTTGATTTATGTATAACATTATGTTGACAATTAGCGCACTTTTGTTGAATTATTTACTATTGGTTCGCTTTCCGAAGCCAGTTAAATAATTAACCGTATCACTAATACGATACCGATATTTGGAAAAATGGTGAGAAAATAAGAAAGGTCTTTGTATTAGGATCCTGTATGCTTTAACTGCATATCGATTTAACAGTGCCACCTTATCGATTAAGCACCGTCTCATATTGGAATCTGGAACAAGTATGGCAGTCACGTGTTGTCAAGCTATCAAAATATAGAAACAATATTGGAATGTCATATAGTCTTTGTGGTTATTCTGAAAGGAAAAGAATAAGAAGGAATTACGGGGAATAAATAAAATGCATGCATGCTTTGGCACGAGAACAAAGTAGAGAAAGCTTTACGAGTGCCGATTTCTAAACATATTGCGCTGCTGCTAGGAGGGTAGTTGTCTGTGAGAATGAAAAAATCGTTATCTAATGGAGTAAACATGTTATGCTGTGTTCAGATGTATTAAACACGTTAAGTTTCCTGTAAATTTATCATTTTTAAGTCCGAATTATACCGCTGAAGCGATAACCTCTGTAAAAAGGATTTATTTGTGATATTTTTGGTTAAATACTATTTTTGTATGTATTCTTTGAAAAAAATTATAAATTGTGTATGAGTCATTTGTGAGTTTACGAGAAAGAAGAAGCAACGCCAAAAAAATTAAACCATGGATGTGACTTACTCCTTTTCTAAGCCCCCGTCATGGGGTAACAATGCACGTGCATTTTTATCTCAGTTTTCGGACGTGTTCAGTGCTTTTGGAAAATACATAGCACCAACATACAAGCACGATCGATGTGAAAGGTGAGTTTGTACAATGTTTTGGTCGGTGTATTCAGTATTTGTTTATGTAGCAGTGAGGATTCGGAATTAAATGTTTAAAACTGAAAAAATAGGCAATGACACGGTAACTGGGAAGTTAATGTCATATCAATCTTTTTTTTTTTGCTGAACATTATTCTCATTCCATTTTACCTAAGGAATGATGGACCAGGATGCTTTAAAGGTTTTTAACTATAATGTTATTAAGATATGTGTAATGTCTTTCAACACTGTTGAATACCTAGATGTTAAAACTTCCACCATAGTATAACTTTGCAAGCTGTTATGTATGCAAAGAACCTTCGGGGAGCTGCACGGTTGAAAAGACCGTAATAACATGTTCGCTAGGTGCCAGTGTCCGAACAGTTCAAGCCCTACCCGTCCTGACGTAATCATTAACAGGCTCGTAATGCTAGGAAATGACATGTATAAATACATTTATGTTTTACTAGCTATGCACAGAGCGAAAGTGCCATGGATACAGTAATGGAAATATGATCTTTGTTGACAATGCCTTCCATAAAATCTTAACTTGCGTTATTATACAATAAATTAAATTAGAAAATGAAATTGTGTTGATAGTATCTCCTTGTGGTCGTTGTCCCCAGATGGTCTTAAGAACAGGTTTAACTGTACAGTTTTTAATTTTGTATAACATAATTTATGGCTACACCGCTTTAAGTGGTCTGGTACCCGAACATTCCAATTTGAATTTATTAATATTATAGCGAAAGTATGTGAAGCTGTCCATACATGAACGTCATCTGTTTTCGTCGTAAATCAAAACATAAACATCACCAAAAATTATAAGAGTTTTAGTGATTATGTGAATATAGAAAATAACGATGGGGTCAGACATTGAAAAGTAAATAATAATTCTTACACTTTTACATTTGACAGTACTGCCATTAAATTTACCATCTAGTGATAATCAGCAAAATTGCCATTGAAATTTTTCAGTTTTTGGTACTATTCCGTATTCGTACTTAGTTTTTTCGTACCAATAACACGCCACTTTTTTTATTTATGTTTTAAAATTAGATCAGGGTAAAATGAAATGGATTATGTTAATATTCGTTATTTTTTCCTAGCATTTTATTTCAAAATGTTTGTATAAAAATCTTTTAGTCTTAATTTGCCATAGAAAATTTTTCTTCAAGAATTGTTGGTGTATTTTTTTATTATCTTCTAATGTACAATTTACATGCAGCCCTGATAAGTGGAAACTTTCAATCTTCTTTTCTAAATATAGATTGGAATAAAGAAAGACGTTGATCATGGACCAAATTTTGGCCTCACAGTTCAACTCCAGTTAAGACAGATACAAAATAACCACTAGCTCAACTCATTTTTTTTCTCAAAATTTAAGCTCTTAGTTTGTTCATAGGAAAGTTTGTCTGTTTATCTTATGATATATTAAATATGACAAAAGCTGTTCATTGGACAAACAGAAGGTCTTAAGTCAAGAAGACATTGTAGTCTTCAATGATTCATTTGCATAGCTGTAGAAATATTTTCCACCATCTGAGCATTGGTTACACCTTTGGGCATATTGATTTATTCTTGCTAAGCTACTTGACCGTTGATAATGAATGTTTTAGGCTAGTCCAATACATCAGACATTACAGGCTTGTTATAGATCATGTTAAGTTTTTTTGCAAAAAAGTAAAAATAACTCAAAGCTGAACATCATATTTATAGGACTACTGTACATTAATTAAGATGTGGCAGTAAAAAGCCAGTATTACAAAATAGACAATATTTTGTTGTTTTTTCTGCTTCTAAGTCACTATAGATGAGCTTGATCCAAGTCTCTTTGCAGTATAACATATTATTTAATATGAGAGAACCTACACTAATGTTTGAGATGTATGTAACAGAAAATAGTTTCCTGGAATAGGAAAAGCTGTCAGTTACTATTGACAAGTATTTCATTCACAAGCTTACGTCAGAATTCTTGCCGTAAACAAGTAGCAGTAATGATGAATCATTATCTCCTATTCTTTCTTTGTCAGTGAGAGAAAATACTAATAAATAGAGCAAGATGAACATTTTTAGGGCCTTATATCCTGGATTCAGGAAATTCCAGACTCCTTAAAGCATTTGTTTCCTATGTAAAGCTATAAACAATGATAAAGTCAGGAATATTCTTACATTTTCAACTTTCACCCAAGTTTAAAGTCAATCTGTAAATAAACTGTACTTATACTTAGAAACTGGTGGCAATGGTTTATCACTTTTGATTCCGGCATGCCTCAAGATGAAAGAAAATCAACGTTGATAAAAAATGTACTGAGCTTTTAAGAATAGTAAAAAGATTCAAAATAAAAGTAATACATGTAATTTCCATGTAATGTGCGTTTAATAATTTAATGACTAGTTTTGAAGTATTTTTCACCATATTTCTACTGCATTAGTAATGCTGCATTGCTAACGCAGTAAGGGCTATTCTTGCATATTTTGATCTCTTTTTTGGTAATTTACATGGGTTGTAAGTGCTGTTTACAATGTGTAAATTATTTTCTTTGTTCCCTTAACAATATTTTACTTTTTTCTATTTTTTTAAAACTTTTCATAAGAATTAGCAGGAGTCTGGAGGAATTCAACTAAGAAAACTTCAGTTGTTTATTATTGATAATGCCAAATCTAATTTGATTTTTGAAACATTGCTTATATAAACATGAAACAATTCATGTGTCTGAATTATTCCCAACAGGTTAACCTCGGCCACCAGTGTAAATAATACAATACTTCCAGGCAAATTGATCAGATTTTGGTGGCTTCACAATTTTAGCCTTTTTGATACAGAAACAACTAAAAAGCCATAGTAAAAAAAAAAGCATTGCAAGTGTATTGTTAACAACTTTGATGGAATGAGTTTGTATCTTCAGATTATAGGCATAAGTTACAAAGAGGTCACACAGATATTTACTTCATGAATAATTTACTACAGGATCAGGAATGTGACTTTTTTCCACATAGTCATAGTGCTTAAGATATAGTAATATATTGAAGCTTTGTAAAATCATGATCAGATATCTCACTTTGTGTGGCTCTAAAAAATTTCCTTTAAGCCAATGTGCTACTGTTAGAGAAAGGGTAAAAAGATAAGAAAGAGAGCTAAAATGTGAATTTGTCAATATTGTTTGATGTTTTAAGTTTGGCTTGCTGATTTTATCAGTTCTCTTTTTTATGTAATGTGTAAGCATTAAAATTTAGCAATAATTCTTGCTTGGTTTTATTTTCAGATCAGTTCAGATGAGGTTGTATTCCCTCAACAAACGTCAGTTTGTGCTTGTGTTCTTCATTTTCTTCATTTGCTTTGGTATCACTGTCCTCATTGGTATTGCAGGTGAGTGTTTGCTGGGGGTGGGGGAGGGGGGTTGATAATGGGGAATAATTAATTTTTAGAGGGCCAGTGGCAGTAGTGATGATGATAACTTCTGCTGCCAGTATTATAAAGTCAATTCAGATGTGCTTCAATAAATGAGTAAACTTTATACTGCCAGTTGCTCAGAGTTAAGCATTTTATTAATTTTAACCAAAATTTTCTTAAATGGACTTGCTCAGCTTCCATTTTTGGAAAAGTCCATGATCAGTTTTGGGGATATCAAGATGAATATGTGAAGTTGGTCAGTCAACAGTATAAAGCCTGGTCAGAATGCATGAAAGTGTTTGCCGGCCAGTGGCTCTTTACCCTAGGTTAATGGTTGGTTTATACAGAATTTATTTTAGTTTGATTGTATAGGAAGCTATAGGCTTATGGATACACTTTCAAATCTGTTCCTGGAATCAACTAGTACTGAGCAATGAGTGTAAAGTTTCCTGCTAAAGGAAACAACAACTTGCCCTTGATGGGGTTTGAACCCATTTGGCTAGCAATCATTAGATTTGCATTAACCACATGGCAATGCAGCCACTTGAAGTTAAGGGTTAAGTAGATAGTTAGAATATCAGGACGGAGCAAGAACATTACACAATTCAACAGGTAAAAAGTTTTATCTGTATTCCCTGCAGAATGATAATGCACACCTCAGGGTAATTAAGAAAATTAGCTCTGGAAATTAGGCTTTGAAAGTTTTAAGACGTATATGCAATTCCTTTTAATTAATTTTTGGCACAACTTTAATGAACTATGTAAACAGATTGTCTGCTGTTGTTGTTTTTTAATCAATTTTCTAATAATGGTAAAGGTAGTTTATGAACAAAGCAAGTTGAATGAATAAAAAATATATTACGCTACTGCAACAACATTAAAGATCAGACAATGGAAAATAGATATATACTTAATAATACAAAAGATTGGTAACAGGTGGGGTTTTATGGTGCATTTGAGATAGTCGCAGACCATTTATCAGTTGCTCGGAACTGTTTTTGACAGGTTTATATCCATCAAGAAAAAATGAGCTATCCTTGCGCAACAATGGTTTTCTTTATGTAAATTGCCAATTTCTTTTAAATAAATCATTAGACACATATGTAAGTCACATTTGTGTCAACAGAAGAACAATTGTTGCTCAGCTCTTGAAGTGATGAATTTGAGGTCAGTTAACGAAGCTAACAGGGTCAACCAGGTGCAGATACCGAGATACAATTGGGATTATGCCAGGATTAAAAATAATGGTAGCATGACATTGTTTTGACTTCCTGTTGTTATAGAATTTGAATCATTTATATAAAAGAATTTGTTTATTTTCAGGGCCTCCTATAATTGATACAGTGACACACAATCTTTCAGCCCTAACACAACCTGATAGTGGTCTTGATATGAAGGTATTTTCATTAAAAAATCTCTTTTTTACCATTCATAGTTTTTATAAACATATTTATTGTAGTGCACTTGAAATGAAAGCTTGACACCGACATTTGAACCTCTCTTTAGTCAGCTGCCGGTAACCAACCTGTACTGGTGCCATAATTATGAGGATACATAATTGTGACCCCAGTTGGGATCAAACCTCTTATCCCTTAGTTTAGAGGCAGGCACCTGAACCACAAGGCCACCACTCCTCTAGTTACTTTTAATTTAAAAAATTATTTTGTCACAAAAAGCTTCCCTCAAACTCATTTTGCATAATTTTAATTGACTGTATGGAAAGGATTAATACTTGATGCAGCATTTATTATGTTGTTAAATATCATTAATTGATATTTTACTTGATTTTCATACACCGTTTTACTTGGCTTCCTTTCAAATATAAATATGTGTTGTCATTTATGCATATTTATAATCATATGTAAAGTTGCATTAGAATTATGGATGAGATCTTTGACATTCCTGTATAATGAAAGGCAGGACAGGAAAAATATGGTTTCAGTGATTAGGTAGATAACATGAAATTATAGCAAGATATTGCAAATTTGTAAATTTTACACTTAGTTTTTCTGTAGTTTTCAATTACAAGATGCACTCCCTACTCTGTATTTGAAATAAGAGTCTCAAAAAAGCATCTAATAATTGGAAATGGACGGTACTTGTTATTTTCATCTAAAGCATTTCTTTACTTGTCTGTATGATTTTATATTAATAGTAATTACTGGAAATATTTCACTTGTCAACCAGGGCATTACTGACAATTTATTTTGCTGGTCCTAAAAGGTCTGCACCTCTGGCTTCATGAATGTTTCTTAATTTGTAAAATGTGCTCAATGTTATACACATGTTTTTGTAAAGACTTCCAAATGCATGTATAAAAAAAAAATTCCTTAAGAACAAGTGATGCATGCACAAAATCAGTGCTAAAAAGTTTAAACTCTTTTTAAATAGCAGCATAATATTTTGTTATGGGACATTTTATTCTGTTCACTAAAATATTCATGCATCTTTAACTGTCTTAAGATAACAGAGGCATTCTATGTTACAACTCTTTCAAGAATGGACCATGCGATTATGGAAACATTTTAATTTTATTGTAATTTACTAAATGAATATTGTAAAAATATGTCCATAGATATTACTACCCTTAAAGATATATGATTTTCTTTTCAACCTAAACCCTAAATTATGACTACATTGTAAATGCTAAAGAAAAGAAAGAAAAAAATCAACAAATTGCCCAAAAAAGAGAAGAAAAAAAATAAAACTCAACAAATTTATCATCAGATACCTATTAACACAAACAAGGGCATCAGAAGAAAGCATGTTTCGAGATTAATCTGGATTTTTTTCTTGGTTGCTTAAAGTACAAATATAGCGGGATTGAGCACATGTAATTTCAGACAGTGCCATGTTGAAGATAATATCTGACATGTTGTTGGCATTCTATACAGCACTGTTATGACAGTTATCCCCTTGATAATAGTAACATTGTCTGTATTTCTGTCACATGCCTTTAGACATGCAAAATATTCTTTATTCTTCTATAGCACAAGGGCTTTTTTTCCACAGAATTATAAATTATTGAATTGAGAATTAAAGTTTTGCTGTAAGCAATTGAGGATGCAAAACATGTCAGTGTGTTTTATTTCCCAGTGAAGCACCTGCCACCAGGTCTTTTTTCCATGTAATTTTGAACTATGGCACTGAGAATTAAAGTTTTGCTTTAAGCTATTTAAGGTGCAAAACATGTTAGGTTATTTTATTTCCCAAGGCTCCACTTTTGTCAATTTTCAAGAAGAAGTGGCTTACTGTATAATTTATTTATAGCAAACTCATTTCTGGTTTGCTCACTTTTAAAGCCATGATTTTATTTTTGCTATGAGATTTCAGATATTGAATGCTCATTTACCATAGCCGTAAGAAAGACTTTAAAGGTGAAAGATTTTTGTGGATTTTTGTCAGATAAGAGAAATGAACCCACTCTCCTATTCTTTCATCAGTTATTTTTGTAATGACTATTTTTAGTACATTTTTTTCAAACAAACCGAAACAAACAAAAAGACCAAAAACAATACGCCCTTTGGAACTATTGATTTCAGGGCACAAGAAATACTATACAATCCTGTACATAGTATATTTCTGAATGATATAGAATAGATTGTATGTGACAAGACCATGTGTGGAAAATAAATCTATTCTGATTACCGCTTTATCCCTGCAAGGGTCAATCCTGGTTTTCTAGGAACATAATTAGAACATTTACTGTTGGTAATGGAAATATATAGTGTATATACATGACTGTCTAGATATAATATGCAAGTGTGATTATGTTGTTTAGTTATAATTACTGAAGATGTGCAAGAATCGGTTAATCTTGTTATAATGTCAAGAGATTCTTGAACATTGCCTTGATAGAATGGTTATAGAATTTTACATTTACATATTATGTTACAGTGTATAGATTTAAAGGGACTCCAGTTAGGTTTTTTTTTCAACATGATTAGACTGCAAATCTTTTTTTTATGAGAATTACATAAAAATGTATGTACCATTTGATGTAGGTCTGGACCAATGGTTTGTGTGAAAAATTTCTATTTTCTTAATTTTTATAAGTGAAAAATGCACCAAAAATCCAAAACATTAGAATGCTTTTAACTCAGATCTGCATTAGAATCATACAAAAATATGATATTAAAGTTATTGAGAGATAATTTCTTATCTTTTGCTTATCTTTCCATTTTAAGTGCCCTAGTTGATCTTCAAAGGAATTCAGATTTTATGTTATTACACTTTTGGAACTCATTGGAGCTTCTTTACGATGTTGTTACAAATATCTTTTAACATAATGCCTCTTTAAAATATGATTTTAATTATCTAACTTTAAAGGTGTTTTAATTTCGAAATAACTAAACATTTGTAAGAAACGGTGAATTAATTAAGGTCACTTGGAGAAAATCTCTTGGGACTGTCATACATAGAACATTAAACTTTTTTAACAACTCCTATTAAAATATGCGAAAGATATTTCTAGGTATAATATCTATAAAGCTTAATAAATTGTTATTGGAATTATGTTTATTATTGGAATTGGATTACCATGTCAGTTTAAAAGAATTAATGGTCTGGGTTAGTTCTGTACTTGATTAGTTGAGTGATATTTTTTTAATTAAATTTTCCTCCTTTTGTTAAGTTAATGAGTTGAATCAATTTCTGGAGGGTGTGGGGGGGGGGGGGCTTTTATAATAAGTTTAAATTTGTGAAACATATTGATTTCCGGGGAAAAGAGATAAATAGCTAGAGTTTAATTTCATTTCAAACAGCTGAAAATAAAAACTTTATTTTATCGGACATTATTGGTAATTGCTTTAGAAAGTTTCTGAGAGAAAATTTAATTTACACCCAAGATTTGTAAAGAAGTTTTTGTGGAGATATGTGAAATGTTGATTTTTTGAGCTTAAAATAGCCTAGACTTTATTACTATTATTTTTTCAAGGCTTTATTATAACAATAGTGCACAAGTTTAAGCTTAAATGGATGCTGTAGATTTTGAAAGTCAAAAACCAGCCTCAACATAAATCAATGCCATTGGTCACTTATGAATCATTCTACACTGTGTAGGATTTTTAGACTGGTCTACAAGTTACATTTGTAATGGTTTACCAGTTTTAGGATAAATAACTAAAAAAGTGTTGGAGCACCACATAGAATACCGTTGTATATTCCGGTATATACCAGACAAGGCGTTGGAATGATCATATGCTAAAATCTTGCCTTTTCACCCATCGGAATGAACTTTAAAACGTTTAATACATCATTGTCTTACCACCTATTTATGAATATAATGAATGAAAAATGTAAGAATCAGCGAAAAAAAGTATATTATTTTACTTTGTGATCATGATTTCTGCAAGCGGATAAAGGGACTTCCTCGAATACTGTAGTGAGTAAAATCCTTAGACCAAAAGATTTGAAATTTGATGTCACGTCCCTGTCTAATATTTCGAATGGAGATTCAGAATAAACATAAAGATTTAATCAAAGTCAAGATATCATTTCCAGACTTATTTCTTTTTAAAGACTAGTTTATGTATATGTTCCCTTCACACCAACCAGACTGGTTTATGTACACAACATTTGAAATATTCTGTTGTGATGGAGTATTTATTTTACTGTTTTTTTTTTTTTAAATATATAGTATAATTATATATTTTATATTTACAGACAGGGCCTTTCACATTAAAGTCACCACCTTTATCAACATTTCATCAACAGTTCTGGTTGATTGCTCACATTATAACAGATAACAAAGCTGGTATGTATAACATATCTAATGTTGTTTATTATAAGAATCTTACACTGGCTGCCGGTACAGACCGGAATATCTAGCTCGAGGGTAGCTATTTTTGGCAGTAACGAGACCCTGTCAAGTTTCCACTAGACAGTAACCCAAAGCTAAATATTCCAGTATGTATATGATAATGATTCTTTTTCTTGCATATTACATGTCAAAAATTTTAGGAACAGAAATTTGATATTTTCATTACGCACTTTTTATACCCCCAAAAACGAAGTTTGGGGGGGTATATAGGAGTCACCCTGTGGTCGGTCGGTCGGTTGGTCGGTCGGTCGGTCGGTCCAGACGTCCGTTGCATTTTCCTTGTCCGGAGCATAACTTGAAAACTAATGGTTGGAATTCAATATAACTACATACAATGGTCAAGCACATTGAGAGGAAGTGCAGTGCACAAGAATCATAACTCTATCTTGACTAATTACAGAGTTATTGCCCTTTGTTACTTTTCCTTGTCCGGGGCATAACTTGAAAACTACTGGTTGGAATTCAAAACAACTTCATACAATTGTCAAACACAATAAGGGGAAGTGCAGTGCACAAGAACCATAACTCTATCTAAAGTAATTACAGAGTTATTGCCCTTTGTTGCTTTTCCATTGCTTTTTTTTTTGACTGTTGCATTTTCCTTGTCCGGAGCATAACTTGAAAACTAATGGTTGGAATTCAATATAACTACATACAATGGTCAAACACATTGAGAGGAAGTGCAGTGCGTAAGAAACATAACTCTATCTTGACTAATTACAGAGTTATTGCCCTTTGTTACTTTTCCTTGTCCGTGACATAACTTGAAAACTACTGCTTGGAATTCAAAACAACTTCATGCAATTGTCAAACACAATAAGGGAAAGTGCAGGGCACAAGAACCATAACTCTATCTAAAGTAATTACAGAGTTATTGCCCTTTGTTGCTTTTCAAATGCCTTCTTTTTTTTGTCCGAAGCATAACTTGAAGACTAATGGTTGGAATTCAATATAACTACATACAATGGTTAAGCACATTGAGAGGAAGTGCAGTGCGTAAGAACCATAACTCTATCTAAAGTAATTACAGAGTTATTGCCCTTTATTACTTTTCCATTGCTTTCTTTTGTCCGGACCATAACTTGAAGACAAATTGTTGGAATTCATTATAACTTCATACAATGGTCCAGCATATTGAGAGGAAGTGCAGTGCACAAGAACCATAACTCCATTTTGACTTATTACAGAGTTACTGCCCTTTGTTTCTTTTCCTTGTCCAGAGCATGACTTTAAAACTACTGGTTGGAATTCAAAACAACTTCATACAATGGTCAAGCACAATAAGGGGAAGTGCAGTGCACAAGAACCATAACTCCATCTTGACTAAGTACAGAGTTATTGCCCTTTGTTACTTTTCCTTTGCTTTCTTTTGTCTGGACCATAACTTGAAGACTTATTGTTGGAATTCATTATAACTTCATACAATGGTCAAGCACATTGAGAGGAAGTGCAGTGCATAAGAACCATAACTCCATCTTGACTAATTACAGAGTTACTGCCCTTTGTTACTTTTCCTTGTCCAGAGCATGACTTGAAAACTACTGGTTGGAATTCAAAACAACTTCATACAATGGTCAAGCACAATAAGGGGAAGTGCAGTGCACAAGAACCATAACTCCATCTTGACTAGTTATAGAGTTATTGCCCTTTGTTACTTTTCCTTGTCCAGAGCATAATTTGAAAACTACTGTTTGGAATTCAGTACAACTTCATACAGTTGTCAAGGACATTCAAAGGAAGTGCAGTGCACAAGAGCCATAAATCCATTTTGACAAAATACAGAGTTACTGCCCTTTGATACTTTTCCTTGTCCGGAGCATAACTTAAAACGTACAGGTTGGAATTCAAAACAACTTCATACAATGGTCAAGCACAATAAGAGGAAGTGCAGTGCACAAGAACTATGACTCTATCTTAAGTATTTATAGAGTTATTGCCCTTTGTTCTTTTTCTTTGTCTTTCTGGACTTATTACAGAGTAATTCAATTAAACTTCATCAATGGCCAACCACATTGAAAGGAAATGCAACATACATGAACCACAATTATCTTTAATTGCCCACAACCATAACTCTATGTTTCAATTCTTTTACAAGGTATTCTGTTACTAGTAACATCCTCATTTCCGAAGCAGACTTGTGGGGGTATTAATCACATTTAGTGATAGTTCTAGTTTCTTACAGTAGTGTATGAACTTACAAACTTCATTCCTAACTGAAAAATGACATCATTCTAAGAAGGCAATTCATTCATAAAAGGCACACGGCAATGACATCATTTAAAGCATGAGACTTGTCTTACATGGGAAGTCTAAGACAGGTTTTTCAAGCACCGGTGTAAATGGTAGATAATACTGTCAGATATGCAAGAAAGCTAAATATTATATCTAAGTTTGTAGATGTCTGAAATACAGTGGCATTTGCACAAGTTGCTATATTGGTCTAGTATTGATCATCAAAATTGGACGATTTTTACCAGAAATGCAAAATTTAGAAAAATATTGTGTTTTTAATGTTACTGGAAGATAGTTCTCAAAATGATGGAATTGAAGTAGCACAAAGGATATAATAATGTACTTCAGTGTTTTTACATATATTATAAGTGTTGTACAAATTTATTTATACAGTAATTATGATTTATTTTTAGCTCGACTATTCGATAAGAATAAGTAGAGCTATTGCAGTCACCCGAGCGTCGGCGTCGGCGTAACCACTTATGTTAAAGTTTTTGTAATAGTTCAAATATTTTCAAAGTCCATAGACATATGGCTTTGAAACTTTGCACACTTGTTCACCATCATGACACCAACCTGTAGACAGGAGGAGGTAACTCTATCAAGCATTTTGACAGAATTATGCCCCTTTTTCGACTTAGAATTTACGTTAAAGTTTTTGTAATAGTTCAAATATTTAAATATTTTCAAAGTCCATTGACATATGGCTTTGAAACTTTGCACACTTGTTCAACATCATGACCCCAACCTGTAAACAGGAGGAGGTAACTCTATCAAGCATTTTGACAGAATTATGCCCCTTTTTCGACTTAGAATTTACGTTAAAGTTTTTGTAATAGTTCAAATATTTTCAAAGTCCATTGACATATGGCTTTGAAACTTTGCACACTTGTTCACCATCATGACCCCAACCTGGAAACAGGTGGAGGTAACTCTATCAAGCATTTTGACAGAATTATGCCCCTTTTTCGACTTAGAATTTACGTTAAAGTTTTTGTAATAGTTCAAATATTTTCAAAGTCCATTGACATATGGCTTTGAAACTTTGCACACTTGTTTACCATCATGACCCCAACCTGTAAGCAGGAGGAGGTAACTCTATCAAGCATTTTGACAGAATTATTCCTTTTTTCGACTTAGAATTTACGTTAAAGTTTTTGTAATAGTTCAAATATTTTCAAAGTCCATTGACATATGGCTTTGAAACTTTGCACACTTGTTCACCATCATGACCCCTCTATCAAGCATTTTTTTTACTATCAAGCACTAAGAATAGTCGAGCGTTGCTGTCCTACCGACAGCTCTTGTTATGTCATCAAAACAGACTATTGTTTGTAAAACATTTTTTTTTATTGCAATTTGATTTAGTCAAATTGTAATGATGAGTTTTCATCATTGATGTCTTTATTGGTTTTTGATTGGTGTTCTTATGTTTAATTTTTATTAACTGAAACAGTCATAGCTATACATGCTATACTATACATGCTATATACATGTACTAAAGACTAAAGGCTTTTATGGTTTGCAATGGTATTTATGATAGCTGCATGCCTTCAAATGTCAGAGCTAAATATTTCAAGAAAATCAAACTTGAGTAAAATGTTCTAAGAAAGAAAGGTAAAAAGATACAAGTTAAAGTATACACATTACAAGTGATTAAAGACTGATTTTGCAGAATACCGGTATATCACCATATTTCTACTGCTTTACTAACGCAGTAAGGACTATTTGTGCATATTTGACGTCTTTCTGATAATTTGCATGGATTTTAAGTGCCGATTGCAGTATGTAAATTACTTTGTTCACCTTGTACTTTATGTTTAAATACATTTTCAAAATTTTCATGAAAATAAACATGAATCTGCAGCCTGCTACTTTAAAAACAAGTAAACAGACTGTTAATCTGTACTTTGACAATATCATCAGTCCATGTTTTAAAATATGATTACCATCTGATATATAGTCAATTTCATTTTTGCCCAGGAACAAAAATAGAACAATCATTCACTGTGAGTGTTTTCATTGGTGGAATCAAGGGAGAAGATGAAAGTATTATCCAATCAGAGAATCCGAAACTTGATGGGCTGTCACATAATAGAACAAGGTTGTTGTCATGTAAAGAGGTAAGAGTTCAATACATTTGAAGCCATTGAAGTCTAATAAAAGGCCTTTAGCAGCCATTCAAGTCCAATAAATGCCAATAAAAGCCATTTAGAATATCATGTCAGGTTTCCATTGCGTCATGAAGTTGCTAACAGATCAAAATTAGAGGGCTATTAGATTTGTTGTGATGTATAAAACTAATAACAAAATTATAATAGGATATTGAACTTACATTTTTGTAGGAGTTATACATTTATGCAACAAGGAACATAGGTGAACAGTTTCCTAAAGGAGATGTCATTTGTCACTGGATGATAGCCCTCATTGGTATCAAACAACAATCAAAGTCATTTATGTAATGACAATAAATTCAAATGTTCTAATTAAAGTCCCAGATAGCTTGAAGTATGCTTCTGTAGATAATTATGTAGTATTACCCTATAAGAAATATGAAAAAAATAATTATTTACTGAAAACAGCAAAAATTAATTCATTTAAGGTTAACTAAATGCTAGTTTCACCATTGATTTTTCACCTTCTATCAATGGCCTTTTCGTAATGGAAATCATGCAATTTTCCCAACAATCTGAACTTAAACATGCATTTTTACTTCCCAAATTAGCAATTTTAGCAATACTTCTTCCCCAAATCAAAAAGCTAAGGTCCCTTTCCAATTAAGTGAGTATAACCAATGCTTACATTAAAAGTAATAGTCTTTGCCAGCAATGTCAAGCAAAGTCTGCTTGTACATACTTACAGTCTGACCAAGCTCTTAAATGTTTCCTGGCCAAGTTTAAATTTATCTTGATATCTTCAAATACGATAATTCACAACATATGAGCCGCGTCATGACAAAACCAACATAATGGCTTTGCGACCAGCATGGATCCAGACCAGCCTGCGCATCCCCGCAGTCTGATCAGGATCCATGCTGTTCGCTATCAGTTTTTCTACATGTAAAAGAGTTGGTAAGCAAACAGCATGGATCCTGATCAGACTGCGCGGATGCGCAGGTTGATCTGGATCCATGCTGGTAGCAAAGGCACTATGCTGGTTTTGTCATGACGCGGCTCATATATGAATAACTTTCAAGTATGCTTCATGAGCTACCTATATCCCTCACCACTGTGGATTCAAATCCCAACAGGGACTTTGAATTCCTTGTAAGGAAGCTGTCCAGCTAGTTTTCAGAATGTTAGTGGTTCTACCCACATGCCTGTTTGTGCCTGAATTAATGCACAGAGCGTGGAGGAGCACCGGAGCTTTTCTTCCACCAATTAAACTGGAAAGTTGCCTTATGAGCTAAATTGTGTCTGTGTGACGTAACCCCCCCCCCCCCCCCCCAAAAAAAAAAAAAAATGCTTTGTGAACTACCTGTATGCATTTTATGTAAGTGAGAAAACATGGTGGTAGCTCAACTTAGGTTACTTTGCATATTTATTTTATTGTATAAATTTTTCTGTAAACATATATTTTGTATATTTCAGGAATGCAATGATCTAATATTGTTACACCTTGGCTATCTTGACTACACATATTACATCATCAATATAAACTTTCATGGTCTGGAGAAACAGGCCCACTTCGATATCAAAAATATCATATTCCATGTAAGTACATGTACTAATATACATAGATACTGTTGATACATACTGCAATCTAATCAGATCTATATAAATTCTATTGGTATAAAACATTTTATATAATTATTATCTTAATATCATATCATGGCATCAACTCTTAACTACAAATTTTATTGTAAAAGCATTTCTGTATATTTCATTTTGACGAGTGACATTATCACAGGGGTAAAAAGGCCTTTATTCAAATTTAAATTAGAACATAATTTTTTTCTTCTATTACAGTTCAAGAGCTATAATACAGCTTTTACCAAGCTGGAGATTTGGTTAAGGTTTTCATTTCTTGTGTTCACTTTTATAGCTACGGTAAGACAATAATCTTACTTTTTTATAAAACTTTTTACAACTTAAATTTATGTGTTCCAGACTAAAAAAGGTAATTACAGGATGCCAGATGTCCTTTTTCCAGGGTTTGACCAAAACGTACAAATTTTAACAACTTTAAAAAATTATTATTTGTACAGAGATAGGGAATATTCCCATGGTTCAAAGATAGGGAATATTCCCATTGTTCAAAGATAGAGAATATTCCCATTGTACAGAGATAGGGAATATTCCCATTGTTCGAAGAAAGGGTATATTCCCATTGTTCAAAGATAAAGAATATTCCCATTGTACAGAGATAGGGAATATTCCCATTGTATAGAGATAGGGAATATTCCTATTGTTCAAAGATAGGAAATATTCCCATTGTTCAGAGATAGGGAATATTGCCATTGACAAAAGATAGGGAATATTCCCATTGTTCAGAGATAGAAGATATTGCCATTGTTCAGACATAGGGGAATATTCCCCTTTGTTGAAATCCTCAAAATCAGATTCTGTTGTAATGCCGAAGATGCAAAAGTTAGGGCACATTTGTATAGTCCTTTACCTGCTGAATTTATGTAAAAGATTTGAATACCCTTGGTGTTTGTAGCTATATGACTAAGGTAGAAATTACCTACAAATATATAAAATTCACATCGTACCTGTATGATACTCCAAATCATTATTATTTGTGGGACACTAATTTTAGTGGTTTTCATGGATAGGTTAATCCATGAATTTAAGATCCAGTGAAATTTTATTTGGTCTGCTATAAGATTATTTTGCATCACATTATTTACATTTTACCTTTAGGACAAATAAACAGTCCCTGAGTTTAAGTACCCACAAAAATGTTCTTTGTAAGAAAACCATGAAATTTCATGTCTACAAAATCAAGTGAATTCACAGTATTTGATTCTTTCCTATCATTTACTCATTCTTATCCATGATAATAGACCCCATAATAAACTTATGGTTATTAACTTATATTTCAGACAAGAAATGGTCATAATACATATTTATACATATTAACTAATGATTTCATCAATATTCCATTTAATGATTTTTCAGTGCTCATTTGCTCATTCATTGAGAAAGTTTACAATGCGAGACTGGTCAATAGAACAAAAATGGATGTCAGTACTGATGCCACTTCTTCTTCTTTATGATGGTAAAATCTTTATTATCTATTCAATTAATTCCTAATCTAGTTTAAACATAAGCTTAATTTTAAATCAAGCTTTAATCCTTATATAAATATCTTTTGAGTCTGGACTGGTTTAATAAGAGGAAAATTTGTTAGAATTACCCGTTAGATCCTTTGGGTTGGCTCTGTCGACACTGATCTTGTACATTGAGTCTAATGGTCATTTGTCTCCCACCGCTGATTCAGAAATCATGTGAGGTTAGTGGTCGGTCGATTGCGAATAAATTGTAAATTACTGGTCAGTTATTCAGAAAAGCTGGTAAGTTGGTCCTACTACTGCTGAGACATAACCAAATATGTGTTAGAATCAGTGTGACAACCAGACAAACAGTAATTTAAAGAACAATTTATCTTGAATCCAATCCAGCAATAGATTTAGATTTGTATTGAACATTTTGATGTTAAAGATATTGTTTTGAATTTCTTGCATAAATATGTTCGATTACTATAAATTTTGTTTTATATTCACTTGAAGTGTCCCCTTGAGACATGCAGATATTTATATTTATACAATTTCTAAATTTTATCTCTTGAAATTCATTCCATATTCCAATGAAATATATCAGCACAGATCAGAGGTAGACATCAAGCATGCATAATTTGTTTGTATCTTATCATGTTATACATATTTGATTACTTTTACAGCTTTGTTAAATAAAAGATTCAAAAGCATCCCTTTATACATTGTCGGATACCCACTGTTTATTAACACGTACCATAACATGGCGGGGTGACCGAGTGGTTAACGTTTCATACTAGTTATATAAGGATTGCTGACCGCGTGGGTTCAAACCCTGTCAGGGGCAAGCCGTTGTTTGAGCAGGAAACTTAACATTCATTGCTCAGTACTGGTTGGTTCCAGGAACGGATTCGAGAGTGTTTCAATAAGCTTACAGCTTCCAACACAATCAAACTAAAATAAATTTGTATAAAATAAACTTATTATTTTATGCTTTTCAGTGGATTACTGATTTATCCGTGAAAATTATATTTGGTAATTTCACAGTGAAAATTATCAAAATATAATTTCACTTTTTTCAATGACGAAACTACTTTTTTAAAATTTTCCCCATGTGGTACCTCAATTTTATTTTTGCTGACAATTCAGACAATGTCAGGCTGTTTAAAGAAAAAGGAAAGCAGAAATTGATAAATACCTTAAACGTCAAAAGTAATAAAAAGAAGAAAACTTACTTCTATTCATTCAAATTCCAATCACCAAATTTCGTCTCTAAATTTTTTGTTTCATTTTTACAGTCTGAAAAATACATTCCTTCCACATGCAAACTGCTCTTGATGACATTTGGGCATATTAAAGTATCCTACGAGTAATAACTGCCGTATGCTTTATGAAAAATTGAAAAGCAATGACAGCTACAGCTCGTAGAACAAGTAAACCAACCCAGCGTTCCGAGCAAGTTCCAAGTGTTCCATTTTCATAGCTGCTTTTTTCATGTTTCAATCCTCAAATATGTGTTCTTTCTTTTAAAAAGGTGTATGACTAACAATTCCAAATGATATCCCTCTGAATCAAACACAAATTATTTTCCTCCCGTGAAATACACAACTTTAAAAAATGGCTGCCGCTTACATTTAACAAAGCCAGGTCTAATATAAATTCGCAGTAGGTAACAGAAATATGGATGGATGGTTGGAATTTTCTCCTACACGCATTGTTTGTTTTTATTATTAAAACAAGCGATCATTCATATTTTTTAAACAAAATAAATAATATCACTGTCATTTAATGTTGATTGTCGGACTTATTTTTCAGCTCAAGCTTCTTGTTTTTAATGAGAAATTCGCACGAAATGGGGCTCTCAATGGGGAAACAGATTTTAATATTTATGTTAATATTATGGAAATTTCATTTAAACTTGTTTTTTAGCATAAAATTTGTTTGTTTGTTGTGTAAGATGTAATTTTATTTCATCTCGTGAACTTTAAAAACAGTATTCTCACTCGTGGCTACGCCACTCGTGAGAATACTGTTTTTAAAGCCCACTCGATGAAATAAAATTTCATCTTACACACAAACAAACAAATATCCTCTATATGTTAATGGTTCAGCCATGGGTATCCGTAGATGCCTTTTTCTAACAAACATGCACTCTTAAAGGCACACCAAGCCTAAGAAATGAATATTTTTATGCCACCGCAGCATCTGTGATGCGGTGGCATATAGCGATTCACCTGTGTGTTTGTGTATGTGTGTGTTTGTGTGTGTGTTATATATAATTTCAACCAAACTTGGCAGGATTGTTCCTTGGGTGAAGGGCTTCCAAAGTTGTTCAAAGAATTTCATTCCATGCAGAAATCTGGTTGGCATGGCAACCAAAAGGAATCATAAGAATAAATTAAAAAAATCTTCTTGTAAAGACCCAAAAGGCCTAGAGCTTAGATATTTTGCATAAGGCATTGTCTGGTAGACCTCTAACAAGATTGTTCAAATTAAAGCCCTGGGGTCAAAATTGGCCCCCCCGGGGGTCATTGATTTTCACTATGTACATAATTGTAGTAAAAACCTAAAATACCTTCTTGTAAAAACCCCAAAAGGCCTAGAGCTTAGATATTTTGCATAATGCATCATCTGGTAGACCCTTACCAAGATTGTTTAAGTTATAGCCCTTGGGTCAAAATCGGCCCAGCCCCGGGGTCATTGATTTTCCCTATATGTACATTTAGTAAAATCTTAAAACACCTTCTTGTAAAGACCCAAAAGGCCTAGAGCTTAGATATTTTGCATAAGGCATTGTCTGGTAGTCCTCTACCCAGATTGTTCAAATTATAGCCCTGGGGTCAAAATTGGCCCCGCCCCAGGGGTCATTGGTTTTCCTTATATGTATAAAGTAAAAACTTAAAAAAATTCTTCTAGCAATTGACAAATGCTAGCATGAAACATTGTGTTGTAAACCTCTAGCAAGATTGTTCAAATTATGGCCCTGGGGCCAAAATTGCCCCCGCCCTGGGGGTCATTGATTTCAATATATACATATAAAAAAAAAAAAAAATCTTATTGTCTGAAGGTACAAGGCTTAGAGCTTAAATATTTGTTAAATAATATCATCTAAGGTACTCTACCAAAGTTGTTCAAATTTTGTCTCTTGTGCCAAAATTAGCCCCGCCCCTGGGAGCCATAGGTTTATCTTATATGTTTATAGTTAAAACTTAAAAAATCATCTTCTCTAAATTTACAAAGGATAGAGTTAAGATATTTTGCATGAAACATTGTGTAGTGAACCTCTAGAAATATTGTTCAAATTATAGCCTTGGGGTCAAAATTGGTTCCGCCCCGGGGGTCATTGATTTTCATTATGTACATATAGTAAAAAAAAAAAATTTGTCTGAAGGTTCAAGGCATAGAGCTTTGATGTTTGATATATAATATCATCTATAGGTCCTCTACCAAAGTTGTTCAAATGTCAAAAATTGGCCCTGCCCGGGGGCAGTGATTCTCATTATGTACACATAGTAAAAACAGAAAATGAAACAAATGTTTTCTGAATGGGAGAAAGCTATAGCTTATATATTTGACTTGAAATGTTGTTTGGTGGACCTGTATCAAGATTGTTATTAAACCCTTGGGTCAAAATTATGCCTTGCCCAAGGGGACAGTGACCTACTTTCTTGTCCTTTGATGTACAGCAATGACATTTTGACCATGTGCACAGTTTTAGTTGTAAAATTGAACTTTGACCTAGATTTTGATGATGTGACCTACTTTCTTGTCCTTTGATGTACAGCTATGAAATTTGAACCATGTGGTGGCATAGCATTTTTCTCAAATGCAATCTTGTTTTCTTTCTGTATAAAGGGCAAACATGTATTTTATAATGTGATAATTATTGACTTAGGACATTTGAGATGCTTATTGCCTGATGAAATTAGTGCTGAATGAGAAATAATTTATGATAAAGGTAGGAAAATGGAAGCAAAGTGGAATTTGGACTTCTATACATACTGTATTAATTGCCAAAATACAAAAGAAGCAAAAACTGCTCAGCTGTATGTTTAATGAGTAGATGTGGAAGCTGTAAAAGGGCACCAAAATTTTTTTTCTTCAAGAAATGAAAATGGCATTTTTTGGGCTTAATGGGCCTTTAATTTGCATGACAATTTTTGTTTACTTCAAGTATTAATGAGTTATTATTGATGTATCAAATGTAATAATTTTTATATCATATTTGGTAATGTTTAAAGGGTATAAATCTATATCTGATGAAATATTGTAATAAAATTTATCAACAGTAAAATTATATTCAGGTTCCATTATTATATGGTTGATTCCCGATAAAGTTGTATCATAGAATGTCTCTGTTATTCAGTACACATGAATAATGTACATAAACGGAATGAAATGTTCTGCAACGAAATATTATTTTGCTATTTTAAGTAGGGTTTAATCCGTTTAGCAATGATTTTGTGCATGCACCAATTGCCTTGAAGGCAAAAGATTACCATATTTATTTCATACAAGCATTTTGGAAGTATAATTTTTTAAAATTTAAACAATAATTTTTGCATCAGATATATAGCTTATACACTTAAACAATTTTTTTAACTTAATAAAGATGAGTTATTTTTGTATTACAGATCCAATATTTCCGTTGACTTTCCTTGTTGATAGCTGGGTACCAGGAATGTTTGACGGGATATTTCAGGCATCATTTCTGTGTGGGTTGTTACTATTCTGGTTATGTATATACCATGGAGTTAGACAGGTAAAGATATTTATGTGTACAAGATGTAATAATGTCATTATTTGATATGACATTTTAAAGCTGCCTTCAGCTTTAATTGTCTGTTGGAAAAACAATTCTGTGTTTTCTCAAACTAAGTATTTCATTAATTTTTATATTGGAAAAACTGTTAAGCCTTTATCAAAACAGCATCCCGAGAGTTATTTATAAAGCATCAGTGATCTACGTTTCTAAAAATAGAAGATGCGGGAACAAACCACCCGCTTTACATATACTTTAAATATAGAGAGCTGACTTGGAGATCAGAGGTATCGAGGGGTTTTCTTATTGTTTATGTATTTTTTTATTGTCGGCAAATTTCATTTTCCACCTTAATTCTTTTGATTTGGTTATTATGTGAAATGATTTATTTAAAAATAGCATTTAACCTTTAGAAAAGCTGAAGGCTGCTTTAAATATTTCTGCTTATCATTTTACATTGAAAAGTATCATGATAAATCATATGAGGGACTTTGAATTCTTTCATGTGAGGAAGCTTAACAACTAGTGTACAAAAGATCAGTGGTTTTACTCAGATGCCCAAGGTCTTCCTCCACCAGTAGAGCTGGAAAGTTGTCAGCATAAAAGTGTTTGTGTGACATCCAGATAAAGGTCTTTGTTGACCTAAACTGGTTAATCCTATAAAAAATAGTATTAAAAAATTTCTTCTATTTTGTTGAATATATAGTAATTAAAAATCATTTTCCTGTGGAATGCAAGTTCCTCTTTTTGATGCTAAGTTCAGTGAATAAAAATTTGTTTGTGGAATGCAAGTTCCTCTTTTTGATGCTAAGTTCAGTGAATTAAAATTTGTTTTCAGACTGACAGACGGTTTTGGAAATTTTATTTTCCTAAGTTATTGATAGTTGGGTTAATATGGATATCAGCGGTCACTTTGGCATCCTGGCAAGAGTACAATGAACTACAGGACCCAACATACTTTTACAGGCTTGATACAAGCAACTTTATGGTAGGTACTTTTTATTAGACTATAAAAAATTGACATTTCGTCATTAATTGTGACACATTTTATATTTTGTAGTAATGAAAGTATAATGTTGAGCTCACAGTTTATATCTGTGCACAAGTTGTGATTTATACATACTAAAATAGATATCATTAGAACCAACTGGTGATACTGTATTACACCATTCAGTTACTGCATTTCACATTAATGCCAAATGTAGGCATACAAAGTTTTAGCTTTAAGTTTAAACTCGTTATTCAAGCTTGATTTTGAAAACTTTCTTTCACTTTCTCAACAAAGATTGTTGATATATTTTCAGGGTTTTAAGATATTTTTCTTCATAGTTGGTAGTGTATATCTTCTCTATCTGCTGTATTTGTTGGTGCGAGCGTATGCTGAACTTAGATCCATGCCATACTTTGGTAAATATTTCATCTCGCATATATTTGCTTTGATTAAATGTAGTATTAATAAATAAATGTTTTTTGTTGTTTGTTTACTTTGGTTTAATTTTAGTTTTTTTTACTGCTGGTTATATTTCTCATAAAGGCACATCATGCTTCAGAAATAAATAATTTATTTACTACGTACAAACAGCACACATGTTTAATAACTTTTAAATAATGGTTTAAAGCATGTTAGATGCTTGTTACCTGTTAAAAGTAGGGCTAAATGTAAAAAATTTTGTCATAAAGGTAGCATAATATATTAAAAAAGTAGTATTTTGACTTCCAAAATTGTATTAGAATACAATATACAGGTTTAGCACTGGACTGACTTCTGGAATAAGTATAATTAAATTTGTGTCGATAACTATGTCAAAATTTCGCAGAAGAGTTATCAAAATTTGTAATTTCCGAAATTATATTGATTTTTTTCTTTTTCTATACTTTTACAAAGGAAAGCTTGATATATGATTCCAAAAGATTTTTTTATACAAGGTGATATTTTTTGTGTTTCAGATTTAAGACTGAAGTTCATGACGTTTCTAATGTTGATAGTTCTATCAATAAGCATTACTATCACAGTATTACGGTTTGGGCGGGCCGCGTTACAGGACAATTTTGTTGCGGAGTTGTCTACCCACTACGAGAACTCGGCAGAATTTGTAGCATTCTATGGGTTGTTGAATACATACATGTACACAATGGCGTTTGTGTACTCGCCCTCACCGAATGCAGTATTTGGTATGTTTTCGTCTGTGCACAATAATTGACATATTTCATATTACCAGCATAAATTTGTGATCTTTCACAGAAGAGCTGATTGTTACTGCTTATTCCTAAGGGCATTGACATTTAAGACCTTTTTTGTCGAAGTTATGCTGGTTCATTTATTTTGGACAAAAATTGTAAAATTTACATTTCTAAGGGGAATGAAAGAATAAGAAATTTATATTTGGAACATAGAAATTGTTTTCATGTAATAATATTTATTGTGAAAGTTTTCTGTTTTAGTCTGGTTAAATGTTTTCTTGTTTTTTTTCAGAAACTCATTTCAAGGACAATCCCGGTCTTTCAATGTTGAATGATTCTGATGAAGAGGTGCATTATGGGTAGGTTTAAGTTAAAATCTCAATTTAACCATATTATAAACATTGAGTTGTTTTTTATTGCATATCATTTACTGATTTTCATTCATGAGCTGGTTTCTTTTCACTCAAGCACAGTCTTGTCTCCTTAACCATTGTATTTTCTTTAAATTGTCTCCGTAACATTTCAATTTGTATTTCCTTTCAATTGTCTCCCTTACATTTGTATTTCCTTTCAATTGTCTCCCTTACATTTGTATTTCCTTTAAATTGTCTCCCTTACATCTGTATTTCCTTTGGATTGTCTTCCTTACATTTATATTTCCTTTCAATCGTCTCCCTTATATTTGATTTCCTTTGGATTATCTCCCTTACATTTATATTTCCTTTAAATTGTCTCCCTTACATTTGTGTTTCCTTTCAATTGTCCCCCTTATATTTGATTTCCTTTCAATTGTCTCCGTTACATTTGAATTTTCTTTAAATTGTCTCTGTTACATTTGAATTTTCTTTAAATTGTCTCCCTTACATTTGCATTGCCTTTCAATTGTCTCCCTTACATTTGTATTGCCTTTAAATTATCTCCCTTTCATTTGTATTTCTTATCATTTTCATGTTTTTTTTTTCCAGATCTGACACAGAGAGTATAGGGCTGACTAGAGTGAGACCAAATGCTGTTGGGAAATATGACAGTGATTAGAGTTACCTTCCTTGGGACAAAAGTTAGCACCCTTGTTGTGACTAGAGTAACTTCCCTTTTAACAAGAGCTACTGCCATTGTAACAAGAGTTAACTTATCTGTTATCAGAGTTAGCATCTTTGAGACAAGAATTCTTTTGACAATGACAAAAATGTGCACTCTTGGTTCAAGTGACAGGTTATCTCCCATGCGGCAAGAATCAACTCCTTTGTTAAATAGAGTAAGCTCTTTTTAGACTAGAGTTAGTGCCCTTGTTATTGCAATATGACCGGACACTAGTCATGTTTTAAGTATCATTAATAAAATATAAAATGTAATCTCTGTGATGGGACAGTAGATAAAATGTAGAATATTAAAAAGTCAGTCTTGTGTCTGTGATGTCATCAAAAATTGAGAAAAGAAATGTTGTTGTTATTAGGTGATACTTTTTCCTTTGCATTTATTTGTTTTGTCAACATGTAATATTTTTCAAGAATATTGACATTTATAAGATACAAGCTTGCCAGTATGTTAGATAGATAAAAGTAGAAATTGTAGAATTATTAGATTTTTGGTGTTAGATAAAAAAAATTGTGGGCTTGATAAATAACCATTAAATGTTATTAGTTCATATGAATAGATGTAAATTCATTTATCATATTAGAGTAACAGTCATATTTGAATTTTGGTGAATTTTTTTTTTTGTAACAAAATCAGAAATCCACACTGTAGACGAAATTTTTGTTTTCTTATTCAAACCAATGTAAGACATGCATAACATTCCTTATATTTTTCTGTTGTTTTTAATGGTGTTGAATCCCAGTGACCATGAAATTTTCATGTCTAGAATTTGTGATAATTGTGCAATATAGAGATAGAGGTTTTATTTTTACTGAGGATTAATTTTAGTAGTTAATAGTGATAATGTCCTATGGTTTAAAAAAAATAATTGGAATATTTTTCAAATGTGATAGTTATAATTTTGCAATAGAGTGGGATAGTTTAAAGTAGTGCAGGTTAGTGAGGTGTGACTGTGGGATAATCAATTGACTTAAACTGTAATAGCCATTTGTACTATAGTACTAAGTGACATGTGCCTGTGGAATTAATCTTTGACTTAAACTTTGATAGCCATGTGTACTTTAATACAAGATGCAAGTGTGAATACAAGTAAAACAAATAAACAAAAGTACAGTATAGCCCCTGCAGAGCAGCCTCCTGTATACCAATAACCTCTTTAAAACAACCATATACTTTTTTCCAAAATGGTGATAAAATATCCCAACAAATTCAATCTCTCTCTTGAGCAACGTATTAGCAATAGCCAAAAATCTTTGTGTCCCAAAAGGTGTTATCCTGCATGAACTTGTACAGTAAATCCTTTTTATTACAACTTGCCAAAGCATTTAGTACCATGGTATCGTCAATTATAATCCAAAGATTTTTTGCAATAGAAAATAGCAATTTTAGTGACCAAATCCTATAGTCAAAGCAATGAATGATAGCTTCCTGTGATAAAAACATGGTTTTAATGAATATTTTTATTGATATTAAGGGGGAGGAAGCAATCTGAAAATTAAAGTAGTGAAGTTCAGCTAGTCATACTATTTTTGATTTTTTTAGTGTGTAAATTTTAACAGTTAAGAAAAGAAAAACAATGTCTTATACGTGTGATTAGGAATGAAAAATGGTACACTATGTACTGGTAGGCCATTTAACTAGACCACCTTTGGTATATGTTTTAATTATGGGACTGTACCATAGATATACATTGTTTGTGATACAGTAACGAAAAGGGGACTATTGGAAGTCTGGCCCTGAGGTTATAAAACTTTTTTCTGAGCTGTATGTCAAATCTCAGGATTTCTATTGGTCAATGATTACCAGATTATTGTAAAATAGAATCATATTAAATATCAATTAATTTGTTTATTTATGCACTTATCAACATTAAAGTTCTAATTATTTATATTTACTTATACTAATTATTAAGTTTTAAAGTACAAAATCAGTAAAATGAATGACTTTTGAAAAATTATGTTTCTAATATTTTAGGCCATATTTTACAAAATCCAATTCACAACTTCAAATTTATTATGAAAAACTATTATACAGATATCTATATTTATCTATCTTTTTGTAAAAGTCTAATTGCTATTCATTGAAATAAAATGTAACTGCTTAATACATATAATAGGTCTGGTGCACTACATCTAGTGCACTCCTAGTGCACTTTATGTAACCTATAGTGTGAACTCAACTGTAGATTCTGTGTTTGTTTCTGACCAGTCAAATATCTGAGATCTGTGTTTGAGCTGAGAAATTTTGTTGTATAACGGTTATATAAACCTCGGGTGCAGGTTTAATGTGATATATATATCATAGGGAAATCATCTAATAGTTGGATGCAAAGTATATTTTATAAGTTATAAGTTATTTCATCATGTGAATTTTTTAAATTAGGACTGTCAATGTTTTTTTTTAAAAGGTGTCAAAGCAGTACTGTGGAGCATCTATCAATTAAAACTGATTATTTTGTTTCAAATATATATACGAGTATAAAAAAAGTAGTGGAAATTTGAGTTTAAAAACAAAAGCATAATCATATATCATGTTGCTATGAAGTAATCATATTTTGTACATTGTTTTATCATATTTGATGTGCATCTTGGTTGTGTGAAAATGTAAAATAATTATGTTTGTATATATAGTGCATAATTTATTTACATACATTGTAATAGAGCGCAATACGGTGCTTTATTTTATATGGACAATAAGCATTCCATTGTTAATGTTTTATGATAATTTTTGAAAACCGTCAGTCAACAGTCATAGGTTTATTGTTGTTGCTTGATTTAATTTCAGTGGTGTGCTATGGTTCTGTCCATTATGAAATTGTTTTTAGTTTGTCTATTTTGAAAAAAAAAAAGGCGAGCTTTTATGGTTGCTGTGTCCCTGTTGCGGTCATACAAAAACTTTAATTTAGCCTATTATTCTAAGAATTTAAGAGCTATCAACAGGAAACTTGGAGTTCTTGCTTATTATGTATTCTCCGAATATATTATATAGATTTATAGTATTCATAATTATAATGTCCCTTTTTAACTTACTTTTGTGTTTGTCAAAAATAGGTTATCTATATATGTCATGCACTCAACAGATGAGCGTGCAATGCTCTTATTTAATATTACTTTTCATATTTTAAAGAAATCTCAAATAATTTTGCTGGCATAAAATTTTAATTGTTAATTGCATACAATCCTATGTTGATGTTTTTGTTTGGTTCTGTCAAATAGGAATATTATAATTTGCAGCTTATTTTTTTCTGCAATTTTGTTTATTCTGCAATATGTAATTTATTTATTCAATGAATCATGTCCCATGACTTGTTAGATATCAGAAATCCATGGCATTGGTATAAGCACTATCTTTATTACGCTGATCCTTTTGCTTTTATATCTAAAAAACCTGCATGGAGTATTATAAGTGACTTATTAATAATAAGATTTTATGCAAAGCTTTGATAACCAGTCTAAATATTGAAAGAGTTTTATTGGTCATTATTCAAATTTGAATTAGCCAATCAGATGCAAGTATTTGAAACTGGTCCCACTCCTAAAACATGAATTTTGAACATCCAGGGAGAGTTTGCCAAAAGATTTGTTATTAATTATGTTTTAATTAATTTCTATATATTCATCAAATGTTACCTCAATACAAAGTTCATGTTGATGATTTTTAACCAGGTTTTCCGAAGGAAAAAACTGGTTATTAGATTGAGGTATGTCGGCGGCGGGCGGGGCGGGCGGCGGACGGGCGGGCGGGCGGCGTAAACAATTTCTTCTGTGCGCAACTCCTCCTACATTTCTCAACGGATTTTGACCAAACTTTCACAGAAGCTTTGTCATCAAGTGCCCTGGCGCATATTGTCGGGGTTTTGCGATTAGATAATATTTGACCTAATTATGGCCCTTTGTTTTTTTTCCTTATATAAAAATATATAGTGAACAATTTATTCTGTGCGCAACTCCTCCTACATTTCTCAACGGATTTTGACCAAACTTTCTCAGAAGCTTTGTCATCAAGTGCCCTGACACATATTGCCAGGGTTTTGCAATTGGTATATATTTGACCTAATTATGGCCCTTTGTTTTTTTTCTTATATAGAATATATAGTGAACAATTTCTTCTGTGCGCAACTCCTCCTACATTTCTCAACGGATTTTGACCAAACTTTCTTAGAAGCTTTGTTATCAAGTGCCTGGCACATATTGTCGGGGTTTGTGATTGGATAATATTTGACCGAATTATGGCCCTTGTATATTTTTTCCTTATACAGAATATATAGAGAACAATTTCTTCTGTGCTCAACTCCTCCTACATTTCTCAACGGATTTTGACCAAACTTTCTTAGAAGCTTTGTTTTCAAGTGCCTGGCACATATTGTCGGGGTTTTTGTGATTGGATAATAATTTGACCGAATTATGGCCCTTTGTATATTTTTTTCCTTATACAGAAATATATAGTGAACAATTTCTACAGTGCGCAACTTCTCCTACATTTCTCAATGGATTTTGACCAAACTTTCACAGAAGCTTTGTCATCAAGTGCCCTGGCGCTCACTAAATTCCCATGTTTCATCCAAGACATCATTCAAGTATTTTTTTAAAATTGTGAACATACTTTTCTTGATATCGCACAAAACACCACACGCCAATATTGTTGACAAAAGAAAATGACAAGAGACGCAAAAATGCAAAAATTAAGCAAAAATAAAGTACTGTTTACCTTTCTAAAACATTTGGGAAAAAAAGGCGAATAGACAACATAAAATTTCTCAATCATTTTTTTTTGAGGAATATTAAAAAAGCCATAATTCCTCCTAAAAGTTCAATTAAAAACAAATGCCCCTTCATGACAAAGCTTCTGTGAAATATTTTGCTGAAAACCTGGTTGCATCGCATTGCGATGTTCCTTGTTTTGCCATGTTTTACCTACTATAATAGTGATGTGTTCCCTGAATTCGGTTCATTCAGAAGATGTTAAAGATAGTTGATATGTGTCAAAATTGTATGTTAGAATCAATTTTATATAATGAAAAATATATGTGTTAAGATGATTTATATGGCTTTTTTATGTACTCAGACATTTTGCATTTTTGCTTTCATATCTAGGTAACTGATAAATTAATCAAAGGCTTACCCAGCTTAACATGTGAAATAGAATTTGTGGCATACTGCTTTGAACTTGAAATAAACCATTGTTTGTTAAAGAGACCTAAGCAAAGATACTAAATTTGGCAAAAATTGAAGTACAGATGGTCTTGCAAATTTCTCTCCAAATCAAGAACTGGAAAAATAGATACTTGCCGAGATGAAGTTGTATACCTGTTGCTGTTTTATTTTATTATTTTGATCTTGAAATCCCAAATTTGATTCTGCAATTCCAAAATTTATTGTTTTGAAAAAAAAAACGACTTGCAAAAATACATGTAAATATAACTTTTTATTATACAGTTATCGTATGAAAATGATCATAATTGATCATTATCTAGTTGTCTTAGGAAAAATAATGTACATTAATATCAAGTTATCCACAGAAAATAAACTTTAGTCATCCTATTAAAATGAATTTTATTGTTCATTCTCAAGTTATCTTTTGAAATTGAAACAAATGATTTGTTAATGTGCTCACATTTGCGATAAAGGGCTATCCTATCATTGGTTCAATGTTCACTGATTGTAGATACATTATTTTCCAGGTAGTTTTGTGATAAAAGTTTAGCTCCCCACCAAGTCAGTCTTAATATATTTGTTGTTTTAAGTGTTTTGTTTTTACTGTAAATAAAGTTGTTATATGTATTTCCCGAATCTATTATATATTATAATTATATAATGTCCCATTTAGTGCAATAGTATATATACATTATGTTGAGGGCTCTGTTTTATTGTTAGATGTTTCAGTTTTGTATGTTTTAAGAGATTCCATTTTGCCAACTTGATTGATAATCCCTGTATTGTTTTTTAGCTTGACTATTCACTGATGTGACGGTGTTAGTGTTGACGTCAAACTTTGGTTCAGTTTTTGCATGCAAGTTGGTATCTCCAAAACTACTGGGGTGAATGGGTTAAAACTTCGTACACTTATATTTCAGAACATACTGGGAGGTCACTGTCCAAGGCCTACAACACTAACATGGAATTTGAAAGAATTATGGCCTTTTTTTTACTTAGAAAATTCTACATTATCCAGGCTCTTGTTGAAGTACCAATCTACATGTTTGGGAATATTCAAGCATCCTGTTCTACTGACAGCTCTTGTTATTTTGAATAATTGTGTTTTTTTTAACATGTTTTACATTAACACAATATTTCAATGTTTTTGGTGTTAGCATAACATCTTGTCATGTTTAATTAGATGAAAACATGTTAGATCCATTGCCTTTTAGACAGTTTCCCTGTAGAATGGGAAAAGTTATGTGGGTAAAAAAAAAACTCATTTCATGCCAGATTTTTAGAACAAATGTTTTCCATGATTGATCCCCCCCTCCTTAGATGTGGATGAAACTGTGGTCGGACATGTTGCTGTGTGTGTCAATATTTCTGTAGCATGGTTTTCCTTGAAATTCTGCCATGGTTATTGATGAGACAATAACCAAATTTCATTGAATAAATTTATTTGAAAAGTAAACAATTTGCAATGTTAATTGATACAGTGTTGAAAGAGCATTGAGAAGGTGTTTGCTGTAGAAATAATACGTAGTTTGATTTTGTTCGATTTGTAACAACATTTTTCCACAGTTTATTAATTTATTCCATACATTTACATAAATTAAATGTAATTTGATCCTTTTAGATTTTCATGAATTTTTACACCATTATGTTAAGAAATAGTGTTTCTGCGCTGTATAATGCAAAATGCTAATTGAAAATCCATTAAAAAGAAACTCTGTGTTTGAAATCCATGTTATAGAAATTTTGAAACAGAACTGGAACTAAATGTAGTGCAGTTATGTCATATTAAAAGCATATTTTAGTTAATAAAATTGAAAATTAATTGTTTTCCTTATTCTTATGACCATATAAGCAACATGAGGTGAGCTAAGCTGAGCTGTGCTCGGCTGGACTGGAACTGAGCTTCATGAGATTAGCTTAGCTGAAGGGAGGTGAGGGCAGTGGAGGGAGAGAAAAAAGAAAGAAAAAGAAGAGAGGAGAGAAATGGGAAGGGAAGGTAGATAGATTTATTAATAGTAGTACGAAAAATATGTGGAAATACAAATTATATGTTGGTCTATAGGTCACTATAAACAATACATTTTAAGCTTGACTATTCAAAGAATAGAGAGACTGTGAGAGCTATTGTACCCGCCCAGATGTCGGCATTTAGAATCACACTTTGGTCAAGTCTTTGCGTGCGAGCTACATGTGTAGTATCTCCAAATCTACTAAAGAGAACGGGTTGAAACTTGACATACTTACTTAAGAATATAATAGGAGGTCTTATTATAAAATCAACCATGTGTGACCAAAGTACAAAAACAAAGTTAACTTTAAGCAATGATGCCTGTATCAAATGTGATGATGGATTTATTCTATATTTAATAAATATCTACATACTAGGAAAACATAAAATATATCCTTAAAATGTCAATACAGGAACTTGGCCTGTATGCCAGTCAAGTCTCTTTGCACCATGTATTGAATTTTCTTTGTACACTTATTTTTAAATGAAAATTTAAACTAGAGCTGGGGTATAGGGGGGTGTCTGTGGTCAAGTTGTTAAGGTTAATGTTAACACTTTTTTGTAACATCTGGAAAAATTAGGGTTTTAGAATGGAGACATCTCCGTTATAAATTTATTACATTCAATCAAATCTTAGTTCTACAAACCTCTCAAAAGGGTTTTTAAATATCCCAAAACCCAGTGCCTATGACAATTAGCCAGGGTCTTTCAAATAGAATTTCTATTTGAAAGACCCTGCAATAGCTTATAGTATAAAATAGACTTTTCCAGGTTAAAGTTTTTAGAATACTTTTTTTTTTGTCAATTTGGTATGATACATAGAATGATAATTTACATTTTTGTATCATCATATACTGATAAACTCTTGAAAATTTGGTTTGTATTGGTTTTCTTAAGCGAAATTAGTAGTGTTCAACCTAAATTAAATGCGTCTGTAGAATTAGTGTACCCAGCTCGATGAAAAGCAGTTTTCACGAGTAATATATTTCTCAGTTCACAACACATGTCGAAAATGTAAACAAAAATGTGATTTTTGTTAATTCAAGACCACAGGTTAGAGAAAATGTCAAATAGCTTTATTATTGATATAATATATTACAACTTTAGCGCTTGAAAGTTTCTTGTCACTCTTCTATTATCTCTCAGAATCAGTTTGTAACTCCTTTTCGCGACGTTGCTTAAACAATGTCTTAGATCTACCATTCGGTCAGGACTATTTGTTTACTAAAAGAAGCCTAACTCTATACTTAAGAATCCGTCCGCAGCTATTTTTAACATTTTTTTGTCTAAATTGTGAAGGGGCCTGCTGGGCAAGTTCAAAGGGGTACGGCTCATTGAATGTTCACAAAATATGTATTTGATGGTAGAAAACATTTATCCTAAGTCAGAAATGAATTCTAAGTCCATTCCCGTTACACTATATACTAATATATAGACAAGGGTAACAACTCCCATATGAAGGTGTCTATGCCCAATCAGGGTTTTTGCCTCGCAGTTTTTTACACGATACAGCATTTAAATAAAAAGGAATTATGCTATTTGTAGTCGAATGATTTATCTATCGAACCAATGTAAAACTTTTCTTATATCTCTAATATTTAACGAGTACTGGCCGTCAAAGTAACAAAAAACTTTTCATTTTCGCGAGGTCGACATCGATCGTGGCTACGCAGGAAACACAAAGTTACACGACTGTTGCAATCGTTGGAGATAATATCACAAGCATTTATCATGCTGGGCAATTAAAAATACATAAAAGTAATCAAAATATACCAATAACCTATAATGACAATGTGATATAAACTCACCTGCGGCTTCAAAATATTTCCCCGTTGAAATTTCTATAAAACGTCGCCATCTTGACGAATGTAAACAACCGTCATCTGATTGGTCGATTTATTTCCCGAAAATATACCCGTAAATTTCCGAAAAATACCGACCAATCAGATGACGGTTGTTTACATTCGTCAAGATGGCGACGTTTTATAGAAATTTCAACGGGGAAATATTTTGAAGCCGCAGGTGAGTTTATATCACATTGTCATTATAGGTTATTAGTATATTTTGATAACTTTTATGTATTTTTAATTGCCCAGCATGATAAATGCTTGTGATATTATCTCCAACGATTGCAACAGTCGTGTAACTTTGTGTTTCCTGCGTAGCCACGATCGATGTCATCCTCGCGAAAATGAAAAGTTTTTTGTTACTTTGACGGCCAGTACTCGTTAAATATTAGAGATATAAGAAAAGTTTTACATTGGTTCGATAGATAAATCATTCGACTACAAATAGCATAATTCCTTTTTATTTATGCTGTATCGTGTAAAAAACTGCGAGGCAAAAACCCTGATTGGGCATAGACACCTTCATATGGGAGTTGTTACCCTTGTCTATATATTAGTATATAGTGTAACGGGAATGGACTTAGAATTCATTTCTGACTTAGGATAAATGTTTTCTACCATCAAATACATATTTTGTGAACATTCAATGAGCCGTACCCCTTTGGGCAAGTTCATTTTGTGAGAGCAAATAAAAAAAGCACGATATGTCATAAAATTGTGAAGGAAAACAAATGACATTTTACTTGGCATTTCGGAAACGGTTGATAATAATTGATTTTATCTGTGTAAAATCTGCTTCTGTAAAACTATATCTGTGCGATTGGCGAAAATCAAGTTTTACTGGAAGCCGGTAAGGTAATATTAAACAATGTATTTTGAAGACAAGGTCCCAACATTTTGTGAAATCTCTCTTGAAATTGTGAATTCTTTTCTGCCGCTTAGTGAAAAAAAAAGTGCAATTTTGAATTGTGAAGGGGCCTTATATTGGCCTCTGTAATAGAAGGAAGAAAAAGCCCTGTTTTGTACACAATATTATTTCTTCAACATTTATTTTTCTATACAAAATCACTTGCGTTAGGGTAAGTGTTCCACTTACAGACATTTACTATTTGTATATGCAGTATTTCAATAGACAGGGCTGCCGATTGTCCGCGGATCCGCGGAAATCCGCGGATTTCGTGAGCTCCTGGGTCATTTTTGAGATCGATGTAAATTCGACAAAGACAATAAATTCATTCGTCATATTTTATACAGTTCCCAAAAACCGGCACGCTTCGGCTTTTATCGTTACGCTAGCTGCCTATGGTACGTCTGTAAGCGCTTTTCTCATTGGTCATATCGAGTCTTTTCCAGTATTCTATTTTAGAATAACCAATCAAATTACAGTTTACATTGTCGCTCTTGTCTGTTGTCAAAATGCGTCAAAATGTCGGATATTTGTCAAATTTAGAGTCCAGGAAATTGATTTTAGGGCATACCAAATCATCAGAATCCAGGAGCTTCCTTACGTTGTTTCAGTGAAATATTAGCGTACACAGAACTGTAAACCAACTTAATAACATGACGTCGTAAATGACGTCACATTGTATAATTATTTGGCGCGCTATTCATTTATTATTAGGTAAAAATGTCCTTTTTAACGTTTGATTGCATGTAATAAAAATGAAAATTTGTTTAGTTTAGTGTAAGATCGAAATATATTTCACCTCGTGAACACCAAAAGTTCACATTTCACTCGTGGCTGCGCTTGTGAAATATACCTTTTGGTGCTCACTCGGTGTAATATATTCAGATCTTACTCTGAACTTAACAAATATCCTCTATTTCTTGAAAAAAGATAGAAGTAATGAATAAAGGTTCCTTCTTTGTGTTCATTTTAAAGGGGAATAATTTGGCAGAATTTTAGACAGGGAAACAGGAGTTATCATTCTTGGCTAGGGAATGTGGCCTACTGAAATCATGCAAGCGAGTTTGTGTGTTTTAGGTTAGGGTTAGGATTGTAGAACAAGGATTTTGCTGTGGACAGATTCTGAAAATGCTAAATGAGTATCATGACTTTGTTTTTTCTAAGATAATGGTATGCTTTAAACATAATCATGTCCAGGATTTCATGATTTTTATGGAGAGTCTATAAATTTATGCAGGTTAGTCCACAGACACTTGGGATTCAGAGATGTGAATTGTGGATAGAAAAAAACTTTCAACACAAATGGGATATCTGTCTTATTTAAAATAGTTTTTAAACTACTATCACAAGAATGAGAAATCACATTTACCGTCAAGTCTCAAAAAAGTAAATATTGCAGACTCCAAAATATAAACACAATATATCTTTGGTAGTTTTGATAAAAAGACCCCAGTTTTGTTGACATTCATATTATTTTATTTCAGTTTATGTTGTAGAAAATGGAGCTAAAGACATACGATTTAAATCCTCAGTTTTCAATCAATGGATTGAAATTCCGTTTTTACTCTGCAGCAGAAATCATTGCATTGAGTGTGAAGGAAATTACGAATGTTGAAACATTTGATAATCTTGGCCATGCCAATGTTGGTGGACTGTATGACCCAGCACTTGGTAAGTGAACAAGATGAGAACATTTGTGTTTTTATTAATAACTAGTCTCTGAAGACGTGTCTTTTTACCTTTAAACTGCTGAATTTGCAAGGATTGAAAAAATATTTTCAGAGTCACTCTTCCAATAAATGTGTTATTGAATTTGTTTATTTCAGGTAGTAGTGAAAAGTTTGATTCGTGTTCCACTTGTGGGCTCGTCAGTCAGAACTGTCCTGGACATATGGGGCATATAAAACTGGCCATACCATTGTTTAACACAGTCATTTTCCCTACTTTATACCATGTAAGTATTTACATGACTTCTTCATGGAATTTTTTATTTTTACTTTGTTTACAACAAGCTTAAGGAACTGTAAGTGTATACACCAAGTTGTTTTAATTTTGTTTGTTGCCTGCCAGATGGACATCTTGGGGTATCATAACAAGGACCCACTGAAAAAAACAACAACAAAAAACATGTGAAAAAACATGAACTGATTAATGATGTATGGTAGTCAGAGCTGCATATTTAATAAGAGAAATTTTTCAATTATCTGAAAGCCTTTCTTCATGAAATATCTTAATAGAAAAATTCAGTATAAGATTGATCTTTAAGACAAATAATATGCAGAGATAAAGACTTGAAAGGACACTGTTGGTGCAAATTAAAACCCAATCAAATAAAATCAAACAAAACAAAACAAGAAGGAAATAATGGGCAAATCCATTTAAGATATTTAGCATGATAAGGGTTAAAGTTAAAATAATAATTTGCAGCTTTTGAAGGCGGTGTGTTTCAAGTGTAACAGACTATGTGTGGAACAAGACAGCGAGAGTTATTTTTAGCACAGTGTAAGTTACTGGATGAAGGTCTGGTAGCTGAGGCCCAGCGATCTACAGACTTTT